ATTTTTTTGGGCAAAATTAATACTAACCATTTATTAATGTAGATTCAAAACACTTGTTTGCTCAAATTTTAATACTGCTTTACATGGTTTTTGCCTGCGAAACAATCCTTATTATGTTATAAACCAAAAATTTCAACTGATAACAGATTTATTTATTCACTTGTCAAACACAGTTGAAAATGTTCGGTGGTGGAATATATCAGAGGCATATATACAATTATAGAAATTCTTATTTTTGTTTGGTTTGATTTTTTTTTTTTTTCTTTTTGAGGGGAGAGGGGTTCTTTTTGAGACAGTCTCACTATGCAGTTCAGGCTGGTCTTGAACTCACTTTGGAGCCCAGGCTGGCCTCAAACTCTCAGTGATCCTCTTGCCGCAGCCTCCTGAGTGCTGGGATTACAGGCGTTGTGCCACCACACCCAACTTAATTTGTTTTCTTTTTTGTTGTGTTGAGTAGTTCAAGATTTTATCCTGGAAATTTGTGAGTGTTATGTTGTAAAGTGTCTGGATTCTGTTGTATTTCTCCAAAGAGTGTTGACTTCTTATTTGTTTTGTTTTGTTGGAGTAGGCAGTTCATTTGGTTAATTTCAATCTACAAAGTCTATCTCTTGCTTGGCATCTCAGATCTCACTGTAGATCTTTTATCCTTTGCTAGGGTTTTCTGACTACCTTGGACACATGTAGCTATGGATTTAGCCAGAGATTTGAGTGACGCTTGTAAGTAGAAATTAAGGATACCCCATATGGGCACTATTCTTTTCTTCCTCATTTTTGAGCAGTTGTGGTTATCTCAGATTTTCTCTAGTGCTTCAGGCCAAAAAGACTGTGGTGGAGTTTTGCACGGACTGCTGTCGGGCTGTGTAAGCCATGAAAATTGGAAATGAATGCAATCCCTTCTCCCAGGTCTCGGCTTTACCTGCAGAATCTCTCTCGGGTGTCTTTAAGTAGTTGTTTTGCCTAGAGCTTGTAGGTTATTTTGGTTTTGATTTTTTGAGATGAGGTCTTGCTTTGTTCCCCAGGCTGGTCTGAAACTGGGCTCAAGCAGTCCATCCCGTCCCTATCCCCACCCAGCCTCCTAAGTAGCAGGCTGGGACTACAGGCCTATGCCAGTGTGCCTGGATAGAGTTAGAGGTTTTTAATTTGTAGAGGCTTTTCTGGTAGAAGCTTTATTAACTATACCAGAATTGACAAGCAGTTTAAGAATTGTATTTTAAGCAGGGCATGGTGGCGCACACCTGTAATCCCAGCACTTGGGAGACTGAGGCAGGAGAATTGTTGTGAGTTCAAGACCAGCCTGGGCTACAAAGTGAGCTCAAGGCCGGCCTGAACTGCATAGCGAGACCCTGTCTCAAAAAGACCAAAAAAAAAGAATTGTATTTTAGAAGTTAACTTGTGACACAGTGGGGTGAAAAAAATTAGGTTTATAATTAGCTGTTTAAATTTAAGCTAGACTTGCTTCCTTTGAAGGTGAATTTTCTAGAATCTTTTTGTCCTGTTGTTTTGTTCTCTTTAATATATAGCCATTTTGACATACTGGATTAAAAAATTCTTACTACAGTTCTTTTTTTCGTTTTCTTTTTCTTTTTTTTTTTTTTGAGACAGGCTCTCGCTATGTAGTTCCAGCCAACCTTAAATTCACAGTGTAGCCCAGGCTGGCCTCGAACTCACAGGATAATTCCTGCCTCAGCCTCCGGAGAGTGCTGGGATTGCTGGTGTGCGCCATCACACTCGGCAAATTATACAGTTCTTATTTTTAAAAATGGTTTGGTTTCATAAGTAGTATCTTCTTGAGCTGATTCTTATCCCCTGTGGCTTTCTGGACAGAGGAGGCCAGGTTACTCGCCAGGATAATGCTTGAAGATGGAATTTTGAGACTATTATTTGTCAGTGTATGAGGTATAATCCAAACTGTAATGAGTGTTTACATTTTTTGTAAATTCATTACAGTAGAAGATACATCGCCATTACTCCCCCTCAGAATACTCCTCCTTGCTTTAGACACATCCCATCATTCTTGCCACTTTGTGAAGCAGTTCTGGAAGTCCTCCTTCATGCCTTTGCACAGCTGCCCTGATGTCTTAAATCAAGTTAAAGTGTTTACGGCTCTGGGCATAGTGGTGCACGCCTGTAATCCCAGCACTTGGGATGCTGAGGTAGGAGGATCACCGTCAGTTTGAGGCCAGCCTGAGCTACGTAGTGAGTTGTGGCCAACCTGAACTACATGGTGAGACTGTGTCTCAAAAAAGCTTATGGCGAGGCTGGGGATTTAGCTCAGCCGCAAAGCGCCTGCCTGGCAAGCACAAGGTCGTGAGTTCAATTCCTGGTACCGGAAGAAAAACAAACAAACAAAAAAGCTTAAGGCAATTTTTGTTAACTAAAAACATGACGGTGTATCCTCATCCATTTTATTGACTGGCTGTGGTACCATGTGCCTTCTGTCTCTTTGCCCAAGTCCAAATGACTGTGAACGGTGGAGGTTGTGAATTGATTCAGAAAACTGAGGTAGCTACAATAGCATAACTGTAGTAAATTTTAAAAAAAATTTTTTAGTGTTCACTGTATTTGATTACATCACATAATGATTGGAGTTAAGTTTTTCTTTTAAATTATCTTCTGTATTTTAAAAATGGGAAATATTTTTCCTAATTATAACATGTGGGTTTTTTTATTAAATTTAAATACTAGAGAAGTAAGTAGCACAGAAAGTTAGTCTTATCCGTAACCTGGCTTCCCCGAAGGCAGTTGTCACCTAAACTGTCTGTGCTGCCATTTTGATCCCAGTACTTTAACCCCGGGGGTTGGGTTGAGGTGAGCTAGAAGAACACAAGCTGGAGTGTGTTAACAGCAAATTAAAGGACTGTATGTTGGAATTAATGTGAAACTTACAAAAAGCATTATCCAGAAAAATTCAGTTTGGTAGACAGAAATCAATGCAAAATAACTCACAGCAGCTAAAACCACATGTGATCAAATTATTGACCAGCAAAACAGCTAACAGAAAACTTTTAGAGCAGCTAAATTTGACGTAAGGAAACCAAACGTGTTAGATATAACACCTACAAAACAGACGTTAAAAACAACAAGATAGCTAGTCATGGTGGCACATGCCTGTAATATCAGCATTCGGGAAGCTAAGGCAGGAAGATCCTGAGTTTGAGGCTAACCTGAGCTGTAGCAAGGCCCAGGCCAGCCTCCACTATGTAACAAGACTGTCCAAAAAAAAGGACAAACATATAATTGATACAGTCTTGCTGTTATCAAAATTAATAAACTATTGAGAATTTGGCACTTGCCTAATGAAAATGGAAAGAAGTAGAGTTGGTTTAACTATGATTTATTATTACCATTTCTGTTACTTTGGTGTTGTTGCATGTCTTATATTAGTTTAACCTCATTCTTTTTAATGACTACTTTTTTTTTTAAAACTGGGAGTTGAACTCAGGACCTTGCACTCGTCAGACAGGCGCTGTGCCATAGAGCTATATCCCTGGCCCTTTAAAGACTATTTTTTTGTGGGTTTTTTTTTTTTTTCCCTGTCTTTTTGAGACAGGGTCTCCTTATGCAGTTCAGGGTGGCCTTGAGCTCACTTTGTAGCCTTACTGGTCTCGAACTTGCAACAGTCCTCCTGCCTCAGCCTCCCGAGTGCTGGGGTTACAGGTGTGCGCCACCACCCCCAATTAATGACTATTTCTTATTCCACAGGGAGAATCTAAAATAAATTATTCTACCTTTTTAAAAACCTACTTTGTTTTGCAGAATATGCTTTTAAGGCTATTAACCAGGGTGGCCTTACATCAGTAGCTGTCAGAGGAAAAGACTGTGCAGTAATTGTCACACAGAAGAAAGTACCTGTAAGTAACACTGCCCAAATAATTATTACAGAACATACTGCATGAGTTTTTCGTGTGTTTGTTCAAAGGCACTTTTATTCCTGCTTTGACTCTTCTCTCCTATTAGTCATTCAAGGAGTATTTATTGACAACCAATTTATGGTCTAGCTGAGTAGACAGAAGTAACAACTTAAACTTTGTGGCATAAGGGGCTGGGGGTTTAGCTCACTGGCACAGCGCCTGCCTGGCAAGCGCAAGGTCGTGAGTTCGATTCCCGGTACGGGGGTTGGGGGACGATTTTGTGGCATAATATAACAAGCAATGGGATTTCTAAGTTGCTTCTTCTGGGACCTTGAGACAAGTTTGTAAGCCCACTGGAAACATAGCTAGAAAAGGAAACTAGAGTCTTCCTCTAAACCCCTCCCCTTTTAAAATTGATTTTAGGGGCTGGGGATTTAGCTCAGCTGCACAGCGCTTGCCTGGCAAGCGCAAGGTTGTCAGTTCAATTCCCAGTACCGGAAAAAAAAACCAAAAAACCAAAAAATAAAAAAAATGATTTTAGCTGTAAAATGAATGTAAGACTTTATCTGTCCATTTACTCCCATTATATATGCTGTTACTCCATACTATTTTTTTTTTATAACTGCCCAGAGACCTTTTAATTTTTGATTTGTTCATTAGGATAAGTTATTGGATTCCAGTACAGTGACTCACTTATTCAAGATAACTGAAAACATTGGCTGTGTGATGACCGGGATGACAGGTAACCTGCTAGATGTCTATTTAGGTACACAGTGCCTGAGTTGTTTTCTCCAAATAATTTTTGAGTTATGTATTAATTTTAAAGCTCCTTGTAGTGCCTCATGAGTGTATGTGCAGTCTTTCAAGGCTGGTATCAATATTTTCAGAGTATTGTGAGTTTTTAAAAATCACACATATAAGAGAGTTAGGTCTCCACACAGCCACTGTGGAAAAGGAGCAGAGTCCCTTCTTGTAGATGCTGTATTTTAGATACGGTTAGTAAAGGGGACCTGGCTCATTATATGTCACTCAATCTGGTATCATGACCCTGGTTAAAAGTGAGTGACAAATGTTATAAAAATTACTTTGGTTTTCTATTTCTGTTTTCTGAGATCAAGGGAAAAATTCAAGCTAAAAACTGAATCAAGTAAGATTATTATTATCTATTCCTAGATACTTGGAGACACTGTTTTGACTGTTACTGGTAGTGAAGGGCTCCATGTGAAAGGCACTGTGGAATTGGGAGCTGCTGCTTAAATTTTTCCTTTCTAATGAACTTGTTGCTGAGTTGCTTAGAGGAAAAAGCCATAGTGGAGCCTTTCCCTCTCCTTCACGCATACTGGAGATGTACATAAAGATACAGATCTGTGTGGTGGGGAAGTTCTCTGGCTTTCAGGTTTGTTCTTCTAAGGAGAGCAACATTCATTCATTCATTCGCTTGCTTGTGTTATAAGCCGACAGCAGATCCCAGGTGCAGAGGGCACGCTATGAGGCAGCTAATTGGAAATACAAGTATGGCTATGAGATTCCTGTGGACATGCTGTGTAAAAGAATTGCTGATATTTCTCAAGTTTACACACAGAATGCTGAAATGAGGCCACTTGGTTGTTGTAAGTATGCTACTTAATCTCCCAAATAATTGATGAGTTGTAATTTTTTTAAGAGATATATAAAAATGTATAAATAACACTTGATGCTGAACACTTTTTTTTTGCAAACTACATAAGGTGAGACAGTCTTTATAATAAATCAGGGGTGAAGGGTAAGTCTTACAACAATATTTTGGGGTATCTTTGTATTGTGGTATTTGGAATTGAACCCAGGGCCTTCTCACTAAGCTACATCCCCGGCTGCCCTCCCACCCATCTTTTTGAGACCGGATCTCTCTACCTTGGCCCAGGCTGGACTTGAACTTGTGATCTTCTTGCCTCAACCTCCCAGAGAGCTGAGATTGCAGGCATGCACCACCATCCCTGGCTCGGACATTATCTTTAAGCTTTGCATGGTACTATTAGATTTCTATGAAAATATTTCTGTTTGGGATATGTCATTTGAAAGATTGATGTCTCTTATCATTAGGCTGTTGTAAGGTCTTATTAATCAGAAACAAGGGCTCAGGAAATTTTTTTTTTTTTTTTTTGAGAAAAGTTCTCATTAAGTTGCCCAGGCTGGCTTCGAACTTGTGCTCTCCTCCCTCAGCGTTCTGAGTACCTACCACAATAGTTGTGCATTGCCATGCCTGGCCAGTCATCAAATTTGACCTCAGAATATCTCTTGCTTCTCCCTCTGCTCTGTCACTTTTTCATTGTTTATTGACTTTGTTGCCTAATTTGCCCATTTCTTCTCTCCGTTCTCAGTCTTCCTGGTCTCTCTTCACTATTCCTTCGTGAGTTATTCTAAAATCAAAGTGTGATTGTTGCTCTGGGACCTTGCAGCAACCTATGAGATTTCTGTGGACATGCTCTGTAAAAGAATTGCTGGCATTTCTCAAGTTTACACACAGAATGCTTCTTTAAAAAACGATTCGTCATTGGCTGTAGGGTAAATCCCAGACTCCCTAAAATGACGTAACTGCCCCTTGGCAGAGGAAAGCTGCTAACCCCGGGTCAGCCAGGAAGCAGAGCACGAAGAACAGCCCGGGAGGCAGGCTAGGGAGCAGCTGCACTCACTGAGGTCGCACCCCTATCCCAGATCCTCTCCCAGCACCCATCCAGATGCGCCCGAAGTGCCTTGTACTGAATTTTCCTAGGTGTCTCTCAAGCCAGTCAAGCTGGCAGTAGAGACTGATCATCACAGCATCCTTATGGTCTGTGAAATCGTGCTCCTCTTGCCAGCCCCTGATGTGAAAAAGTATTTGCCGGCTAGGCCTGTAATCCCAGCACTCTGCGATGCTGAGGCAAGAGGATAGCAAAGTAGAGCCCAGCCTGGGCAATTTAGGAGCTTAGTGAGACCCTCTCTCAAAATTTCAGAAAAGCTGGGAGCAAGGCGGGAGCTGGGCTGGGTCTGTAGCTCACTGAAGGCCCTGGGTTCAGTCCTCAGTACCACTAAAAAAACAAAAATTGTTTTCCCGAAGCAATAAATGGGTTATTTCTTTTGTATTGGCCTTTTATTTTGTACATATCAAATGAAATTATATTCTTTATAAAATGTAAAGAAAATTACAGGATGACGTAAATTTTAGTAAGGCAGATGCTGATAAATGTCATGGGGTTAATAACATAAAGTTAAAAATTCCTCATTAGGGGGGCTGGGGATTTAGCTCGGCGGCAAAGTGCCTGCCTGGCAAGCGCAAGGTCGTGAGTTCGGTTCCCGGTACCGGAGAAAAACCAAAACCAAAAAAAAAAAAAAAAATTCCTCATTAGTAGATTCTCTAAGACAACCATACATATGAATAAAAGTGGTTGGCTAGTACTGAATCTCAGTACTGAATCAATGGTAGAGCATTTGCCTAGCTTGTGTGAGGCCCTTTCTTTGATCCTCAACACCTACTCCCTATACCCCAAAAAAGTTCAGATCCAGAGTGTGTAAGTAAGCAGAGGGTAAGCCATTACTTAAGTCCTTCGCTTTCTGTTCTGTTGAATAGGAAGTTTGATGGTGATGTTTAATATCCATGATGTAACAATTAGAATTATGTGACCCTTAGGCAGTATCAGTCCCCAGCTACTGCAGTCCTTCAGGTCTCTCTTCACTCTCCCTGTGGGCATCAGTTTGCACTTCCAGTCCTTCCTGGGTCCTGGGGACCCACTCCCCTCCTCCTTTTCCTTGAGTTGCTATATTCCAGTGTCAGGAAGGCAACTCTCAGAGTGGCTCTTTCTCTGCTGCTTACCACTCCACCATCTTAGAATTATAAAGTTATACAGAGTTGGGCATGGTGGCACATGCGCTCAGGAGGCTGAAGCAGGAGGATCGTTGTGAGTTCGAGACTAGCCTGGGCTACAAAGTGAGGTCAAGGCCAGTCTGAACTTCATAGCAAGACCCTGTCTCAAAGAGGAGAAAAAAAGAAAAATACAAAATTCGGGGTTTGGTTTATGCTGACTTACAAGGAGGGTGGATATCAGTAGTGACAAAGATGGACCATATAAAGGTGACCAGGTAGCTCCTAGGTAAAACAGACTGTGCAGCAGTGTTCCCAAAGTTTGTTCTGGTTTTATGCTACTGGTGACTGAACCCAGGGCCTGTGCCCTGAACTACATCCCCAGGCTTTTTTTTTTTTTAAGTTAATTAATTTGAGACAGGATGTCTAATGTAGTTCAGGCTGGCACTGAATTCATTATGTAGCTCATGCCTCAACTTTGTGTCAATCCTCCTGCCTCAGCCTCTTGAGTACTGGGATTATAGGTATGCACTGCCAAACCTAGTTTCAGTATTTCCTAAATTTTAAAAAAAAGACCTTGGTCAAATAAATTTAAAAATTGTGGAAGTAAGTATGTTGGTCTACAGTAGAACATTTCAGAGCATTTACTATGGTATTGTTTATTATTTGTCTCCAAAAAAAGATAACGAAAATATTTTCCAAATTTATTTGACCAGATAACATAAAGGAACATAAAGGCTTAGGATTCCCTTAAACATGTGTTGGGTATTAGCAAGGATTAGAAGAATTGCAAATGATATTCTTAATGTTCAGACTCTTTCTTAAAACGGTGACACATCCTTTTGCAAAGTGGAAATGTATCTGTTACCTAATTTATTTATGGTAATACCCTATGTTTTATCAGTTTTCTTAAAGCAAACATATGCTGAAATTAATGGCCAAAGTAATGATTAATAACAGTTAATGTGACACTGCCAAGGAAGGCAGTTTTGTTTTCTAAAGCCATAAGCTATTCACTCAGTCTTTCTTTGCAGGTATGATTTTAATTGGTATCGATGAGGAGCAAGGCCCCCAGGTGTACAAGTGTGACCCTGCAGGCTACTACTGTGGGTTTAAAGCCACTGCCGCAGGTGTGAAACAAACTGAGTCAACCAGCTTCCTTGAAAAAAAAGTGAAGAAGAAATTCGATTGGACATTTGAACAGACAGTGGAGGTAAGTTAAACCAAAAGGAAACTTTTTTACGCTATATATAACATGAAGTTCTTTGCACAACAGGTAGTACTAGACTACCTCTATAGACAGCCTATTCCTGAGTTACATCACAAGACCCAAGCTTACTGGTCAAATGGATGTCCCGCAGCTGACAGGGAGAAGTGAAGCCTGCTATATTAATTCCTGTCTTATTTCATAATGTGTTTGAAACAGTGTTCAATGAATATGTATGATAAAATGGGATGATATAAATAAGAATAGAAAACAAGACCAGGCCCACGGACTTGTGAGGTTGCTGTGGCCAGGAGACTCATTAGGGTTACACTTCCTGGTAACAAGAATGAAGAGGTTCAGAGTCAGCAGTGTCGCTGTTACGGTCCTAGAGGAAAAACACCCACACACGGGGTTCTCACGGAAGCAGTGTATGTGGGATGCAAAAGTAGAGCTGAATTACTGTTGAATATTTTTATATTTGGCTGGCAGCATATCTTATACTAAGGGAATATACAAAGTTCTTATCTGGGAGATAGTATGCCTGTTTAAATTTAATTTTTTTAAAGGTTTTAAAACTTTAATTCATGATTGTTAATCGCCTCAGGAATGAACCCACTGAACACATTCCTAACTTGCTGCTACTGTCCGTCCCTTGTCATACAGACTGCGTTCCTCTCCCCCTCACACCAGACTTTAGCATGGGGCCTTGCAGGTGGTGGTCGTCCGGGCAGTAAGCCTTTGTACAGATCACCACATTGGCTTGCTGTGCCCCTTTCATTTATGCCTTGACTTAGTTGTGCTTGACGGTTGGTGCACTGCAGTGAAGCAGTGCGGTAGTGGCCGTGTCACTGAAACGTGGGGCAGAAGTGAGCAGCCTGTGGGGACCTTACGTGTTAATAAGCTTGAGGTGAGAAAGCCTTGGAGTCTGGAAAATAATAAATGTTAATGTCGATGCTTTTTTCAGACAGCAATTACATGCCTGTCTACTGTCCTCTCAATTGATTTCAAACCTTCAGAAATAGAAGTTGGAGTAGTTACAGTTGAAAACCCTAAATTCAGGTGAGCTATCTTGTCAGCCATGTATTTAAAGAAGTTTGCTAAGCCTCAAAAGGTGACCTTTGGGTCCATTTGCAGGTGGGGTAGGGAGTGTGGAACTATGATTATATTTTTTTCTTTAGCTTCTGAAAGAGCTGCTTTAAGATTTACGGAGGCCTGGGATATGGCTCAGGGATGCGTGCTGCGCTGGGCTCACACCCCAGCACTAACAGGCAAAGCTTACTGGGTTTCTTTCAGACAGACAGCAGTGTCTCTTCACGTTTCACAGTGCTTCTGTGTGTAACACCAGAGGTGACAGGAAATTTAATTAAGAAGTAAAAAAAGCTTGTTTTCTTTTCTAGTTTACATCTAAGAGAAATTCAATTCCCAAAGTAGTCATTTTCAGTTTTTCAGGCAGAGCTTTGGTAAAGTGGCGCTTTAAAGAGCAATATGAAATACTGATACACATCAGACCATTACCCCCCAAATTTTGGAAACCCCAAATTTTGAATACAGCTAATTGAATTCCGGTGCTTGATGTTGTGTGTCCTTATTCAAAGGGACTGATTCCCAAACCTAGGCTTCCATGATTCAAATGCGTACTGGTTACTTAATGTACATCTGCTCATTGCATCGTCCCAGCAACCTATGAGGTGGTTTGGATACCAGCACTAGGATGTTCTTGTGTTTAGTGAAAAGTAGGATTAAATCCACAGATAAAAGAAACAGCTGGGTGCCAGGTGTGGTGGTGCACACCTGTAATCACAGCACTCGGGAGGCTGAGGCAGGAGGATCGTTACAAGTTCAAGACCAGCCCGGGCTACAAAGTGAGCTCAAGGCCAGCCTGAACTGCATAAGGAGATCCCGTCTCAAAAAAGACAAAAAAAGAGAAACAGCTGGGTGACATTTAACTACTACATGTATGTATGTGTAAATCACAACCAGAAGGACACAGTGGTTTTGCTTTTGGTAAACGAAGCTTAATTAGACCTTCAAGAGTTTTCAGATAGTGTGCATTTTTTTTTGATTTGTTATTTTGATTGCCTGCATATAAGTGATATAAACATGAAAAATTCATAGAATGAAGGAGGGAAAAGACTTGAATCTAGCTTAGCTTCTTTATTTCTGTGGGAAAAGGTTGCCTTTTTCGTAACACGTTCCCACAAGCTTGACTCACCAGTGGTACATGCATGTCCCATCAGGCGCTGCCACCCAACAGTGGTGCAAATGGATCTAATCACTTTTATTGGTCTTTTTACTAATAAAAATGACAGAGGCACAAGTGCCTGTGTGGCGAGCACAAGGTCCTGGGTTCAATTCCCAGTCCAAAAAAAACTAATAAAAATGAGAAGAACCACCAAGGAACAATAAAAGAAAAACTTACCGCTGACCTTAATAATAATTTATCTGCGAAATAACAGTGACTGTTTTTGTTTTGGCATATTAACAAGAGAGCATACATAGGTTAGCTGTATAACAGCAGGTGATTGAATTCAAATAGAATCACCCAGCATCGAGACATGTGAATTACAGCCCCATCATGAGCCTGTTTAAAGCATTAAAATTTCAACAGGAACAATTTACAAGTCTCTCCAAAGAACTTAGAATTCATTCTCATTTTTTTTCTGAGAACTTTTTATCACCTTTTAATTTTCATTTGCATCTGTTAAAAACTGGTTAAAGCTAGTACCAAAAAAAGAAAAACCAAACCCCCAAAAAACTTGCTGAGAAGCCAAAGCTCCTGTGTTATCGCAAATCATTTATGAGCTCTAGCTCTTCTGTAAGTGTACTGGCTACTGTAGAGTTCACAGATGATAGCAGGGCTTCATAGTAACAAGGGGGCTTTGGCTTCTTAGCCAGTTTTTTAAATAACACGTGCAAATGAAATTTAAATAAACTACTCAGCATTGTCCTAACTTGAACTACAGATGCCATCGTGATGGTTTCTGCTCCTTAGAAATTTAGCAGGAACAAGTCCCATCAGTAAAGTTGCCAAGTAATTGATTTTAAGATAAAATATCATTTAGGAAATATGCTCGACATGGAGCACCTTCTGGCTATTACAGAATTATTTTCATGGATTTCTAAATGTAAACAGCTTTTGTTTGTAATTGTTTCTCAGTGAATTTTCTCTCAGCACATAGAAACTGGAGTTTTTCTGGGCTGGAAAAGCAATGTGACATTGGGACTAAAGGAAACACATCATAGCTTACCTTTATACTCTTCAGTTGAAATATTTCCTACCTCTGCTGCAACTGAAAGGTTTTGACCTAATTCTAGATCTGATTTTAAGGAAGTAAACATTTTTGTATGTAGATGAAGTTGACATAATGTCTCAAATTTCCTCAAAATCTATGGAGTAAAAGGTGTATTTTTTAGAATGGTTATTGTGTTTTGTATGTTTGAACTTTCCCTTAATAAAATGGCTTAAAATGAGCGCTTGTTGGTTTCTTACCCTTCTAGGATTCTTACAGAAGCAGAGATTGATGCTCACCTCGTTGCTCTAGCAGAGAGAGACTAAATGTTGTCATTAGTTTACCAAATCCATGAAGCCACTTGCCTGTGTGTTCGCTAACAACAGACCAACATCACGAAGGCCCTTGGATTCAAAGAAGAACCTCTCCCACTCCGCCTGCCACCCATGTGGTTAGGACTCTGTATAAATAAAAACAGTGCTTTTGGGAAATAATTGCATCCTGTTGTGTTTTTACATACGAACTGTGAAACATTCTCCACTTGCACAGTAGCTTTAGTCATCCTGCTGACAGAAATGTGAGTTTCCCTGGCTTGCAGAACTTAGCTCAAAGACTGAACTCGCTGTGCAGCATATCTAACGGGTAGCAATGTAGCGCCTGGCTTTGAAGCCATCTCTGACTGTGAGTGGCTCGGGGGACAAGGCTTTACGTTACGGTTCCTTGTTCTAAAGGGGTGTTGCTGGAAGGCTTTATAGGAAAAGATTAGCCTGACTGATCATACATAGGTGCTTTTGTTGTTTTCTGGAGGGGAGAGGAATTGAACCTAAGGCCTCACACATGCTAGCATAGATCTACCACTGAGCTGCACCCCAGCCATCTTCAGGAAAATGGCTAGAAAAGTTGTGGTACGTGCATTTTCTTGCTCCCTTAAGATTAAGTACTGAAAGCAGACACTAAGGTGACAACACCGTTACCATTGTTGTGGAGGGAAAAAAAAAAACCCTGTATTCAGAGTAATCTGTATGGGTTTTTTCCCCTGTATTGGGGTTGAGCCTCAGGCACTCTTAATCACTGCGCTACAAGCCCAGCCCTTTTTTAGTTTTCTAGTGGTGGTAGGTTTTTTGTTTGTTTATTTGGACAGGGTTTCCCTGTGCAGTTCAGACTGTCCTTGAATAACAAGCTGGCCTTGAATTTACTATATAACCCAGGCTAGTCTTGAACTTGGAGCAATCCTGCTGCCTCAGCCTCCCAAGTTTTAGTTTTTTTTTTAATTAGATTTTATTGGTAAGTTTTAGATACACATAGAGAATTTGTACTTGTACATGATACAACTTTTTTTTTTCCCCCATTCTCTTAGGTTGGTTGGTTTTTTTGTGTAGGGTGTCACTATGTAGCCTCGGGTGGCGGTGAACTCACTGATTCTCCTGCCTGAGCACCTCAAATGCTGGGATTACAGGCATGTGCCACTACACCTAGCTTTGAGGCAGGGTCTTCCTAAATTGCCCAGTCAGAACTAAAATTTGACAGTCCCCCTGCCTCAGTTTCCCTCTGCTGGGATTAAAGATGTGCACCAGTGTGCCTGCCCTAGAATATTTTTATTGTTTGACAGGTCTTGCTCTGTAGCTCAGGCTGGGCTCTAACTCACTATGTACCCATGCTGCCCTTAAACTCGTGGTGAATCTCTCTTGCATGAACCTCCTGGGTGCTGAGATTACAGGCATGCACCACCATGCCTGGCTTAAATTATTTTTTTATGCACAAAATTACATTTTAAAAATTCCTAGAGTGGGAGCTGGGGATTTAGCTCAGCGGCACAGCGCCTGCCTGGCAAGCGCGAGGTCGTGAGTTTGATTCCCGATACGGGAAAAAAACAACAAAAAAGTTCCTAGAGTGATTTTGTAGTGACCTGACCCACTAACTGTTGCAGACAGTCCAAAACTTGTAGAAAGTCTAAGGCTAGTACATTCATGTCCTCACTTGGCACTGGGGAAGCCTGATGCAGTCCCCCTCGCCCAGGTCACATAGCTGGCCCTGATACCAGTACACGAAGTCCGCTGCCGCTCTTTCGGCAGCCACCAGGCCCACTCCGGAGGCCACAGGAGCGTGTGACCGCTAGGAGAAAACTACCATCACATCCTCTTCACAGCGGAGTCGAGCGTTTCCTCCTGGAAGCGGCCCTTTCGTTTAGAGTGCTGCTCTAGGATGAGTCGTCCAGACCCACTGGGCTCTCTGGGCGCTGGCGGTAACAGATTTTGAAAGCTGAGTCTCCAGGAGGGCCGCTTCCCTGCGCAGACTGAACTCCACGCTTAGAGCCGACCGCCTCCCTTCCGGAACCATGGCGGATGGAAGAGCCGGTAACTCCTGTTTTTCTACAAGAAAATACCTTTGGGGGTTGGAGGACTAGAATTCTATAACAGAAAGAAGTTTACATTATACTTTAAAACCTAAAGAACTAGGTTTAAATATAGAACACTTCCAGTTATTTAAGCTTAAGTGAACTAGAATAGAGATCAATTGCAGTATATAAACATTAAATAATTTTTTCATAGATGGTAACAAGATTAATGCAAAATGTTTGTAAAAGTTGAGTGTGGTGGCACTCCTAATGGGGGGCTGAGGTAGGATCTAAAGTTGGAGCCCAGACCAGCCAATTTAGTGAGATCCTATCTCAAAATAAGTAAAAAGGCTGGGGATGTAACTCAGTGTGAAGGACCTGGGCTTAATCCCTAGTATCAATCAATCAGTTGATCAATCAGTCTTTAACCAGAGCCTGGTGTGGTGCACACCTACAATCCCAGCCCTTGGGAGGCTGAGGTAAGAGAATCACCACAAGTTCAAGGCCAGCCTGGGCAACGCAGTGAATCCAAGGCCAGCAGGGAAGAAACAAAAGAAAAACAAGTATCTACCCATCTTCATAAACTAATAATTAAAAAGATACAATCTTTTAAAAAGTAAGAACAAAGCCAGGCCTGGTGGTGCACGCCTGTAATCCCAGCACTCAGGAGGCTGAGGCAGGAGAATCGTGAGTTTGAGACCAGCCTGGGCTACAAAGTGAGCTCAAGGCCAGCCTGAAGTACATAGCAACACCCTGTCTCAAAAAGATCCCCCCCTCAAAAAAAGTTTTAAATTTAAATTAACCTGCAAGTTGTAAGTGTGTTTTATGTTTAAGTTCAAAGGAAGCATTTTTGAAATATAAGAAATAAAAATGAAAAAAAGAACTTTAAATGACCCTGAAAGGTACTTATAATGGAGAGGGGGCACTATATTAGATTCTTTTTTTTGTTTGTTTGTTTTTGTTTTTCTCCGGTACCAGGAACCGAACTCACGACCTTGCGCTTGCCAGGCAGGCGCTTTTGCCGCTGAGCTAAATCCCCAGCCCCTCATATTAGATTCTTTACCAAGCATATGGTCTCCACAAAGTGCACAATGCAGAGGGAAAATCCCTGGTGCTAACGGGGGCTTAAGGAGGGTTGAAGTACACAAGGCTGATATTCAAAAGTTAAGTTGCTTTCCTGTATGTCAGTAATGAGGAATTTAATTTGAAATTAAAAACACAATGCTGCTAACACTAGCACTAACAATATGAAACACTTAGGTATGGGTCATATGTATATACACAAAGTCTATATGCAGAATGACAATACTCGGAGGAAGGAGAGCATGGAGTCTAAATAAGCAGATACCTCGTGTTCATGGGCAGGACAACATGTGGTCAGGATGTTGCTTCATGAAAAATGGCTGGGGAGGCAGCTCAGTGCAAAGGCCTGAAGCCCAGTACCAAAAAAAGGTGGTGTTTCTTCCCATCCTATTTATAGATTCAACATAATCCCAATCAAAACTCACCAAGTTTTGTGAATATTGATAAATTAGTTCATATGGAAAGGCGAAAGATCCAGAGTAGTCAACAGGGTACTGAAAAACAAAGTCAGAAGCTTAAGCTGCCTGACTTTATTTATTTTTTTGTTTGTTTGTTTTTTCCCCCCGGTACCAGGAACT